AGCAAAGGCCTGATCGAGTGGCTGAGGCAGAATCCGGGCTACAGCATGGATCTCCCTGCGTTTGCTCATGTAAGTCAGAGGTTTCGTTTGGCTATTTCAGTCTGTAACTGCTTTTATCAGCAAGGTGTTAGCCGGAGGACAGGAGAGTGCATGTGCTGGAGGTTATATGTGTGCAGCTAAAACAGAATCTGGGCCTTTTTGGATATTTTCTGTTGACCATTTTGAGCTGCTTTTTTGAGGATACACATCAAAATGATTCTCTGTTACTTCCCCTGTACATCCTTCCTGTCCTTCCTGTCCCACTCTGCAGTCTGGAGCAGGTCTGTTACATGGTTTTGTTGAACGTCCCAAGCAGAGGAGGCATCGCTGTAAAGACCCCACCAAGCTGGATATCAACTCCTTGACGGGGGAGGAGAGGGTTCCTGTTGTGCACCGAGGCACCGGACGCAGGGTAGAACACACACACACACACACACACACACAATGTACATCAACAACAGTTGGTCAACATAAATAATGCAGGCTGCCATAAAGCTGAGAATGCAGGAAAACTCCTAAATATGAATTGATATCATTGTTGTAATATTGTACTGGTTTTCCTGCCTTGCAGCTTGGTGGTGCTATGGCTCCGGCCATAAAGGAACTTTCCAGGTGGCTGGACGCTAACTCAGAGTACTATGTAGCTCCAGATTGGGCTGATGTGGTCAAACACTCTGTGAGTAAAACACGCTGTAACAATGTTTCTCTCTTATGAACTCTTACTGTTGTAATTAACTGTTCCCTTGAGTTTCCTGATTCCTTTCTGTACGGTGTCATACACAGTAACTCTTATCTACTAATGTGCAACTCCATGACCTTTTAACCTTTTCCTCTCCTCCTCTCTTCCTCCTGCAGGGGTTCCTCCCTGAGGGCAAGTTTTCTCGGATCCTGACAGAACCAGTCAACAGAGACCCGGGCTCTCGGCGCCGTGGGCGTCGGCCTCGCAGCGAGATGCCTAAGCCCCTCCTGTCTGTCTCCGATACTGCCTCATCTGGCCTTGGCCCCCCACTCTTCATGAACGGCGGATTAATCGGCAGCATGGACTCCATGGTGGCCATGCAGAACCTCCGTGGTGGCATTCCTGGAATTCCCATCTCCGGGATCATGGCGGCTGGATTTCCACATGGTTTCTCGGCCGCCGTCCAGGCGGGAGGAGCTGGAGCGTCTGCAGAAGATGCCAAGAATGGGTTGAGTATGTTACCCATGATGCTGCACGGCATCCCGCACCCCCATGGGGCTGCGATCCAGCAACACGCCTTGTTCAGCGTTGGCGCAATGATGGCGCACGCGCCGCCACCTCCTCACCCCAGCTCCTCCTCTTCTTCTTCATTGTCTGCTGCAAAGGTCACCACAACAACTGCACCATCTACATCTGAGGCAGCCAGCCCTTCGTCGACAACGCCTGCTGAGAGAGAGAGTGCCGCCTCTTCCGGCTCTGCTGGAGGTGAAAAGGAAAGGAGCCGGGAGGAGAAAGGAGCCGCAGAAGCCGGCAAAAGACCAGGAGGGGCGGAGACAGCGGCCATCATTACCTCCACCAGCAGGGCACATCTTAGCTCTGCGCATCTCGGGGCCGGCACCGGCAGCCATCTTACCTTCAACCCCTTCCTGATCCCGGGCATGTCCCACGGCCTGCTGTACCCGCACATGTTCTTGCCGCACGGTGGCATCATGGCGCTGCCTGCTATGCCTCCTGGAGCAGTAGACGGCTCCCCAGGCAGCCCCAAGAGGAGGAGGAAGAGAGGGCGTGAGGAAGGGGAAAGAGAGGAGGAGAGGGAGAAAGCTGCGACAGGAAAGGTAGAGGAAAGAGAAAGTACAGTTAAGGCTAGTGTTACCCCCCAACCAGCCTCCTCCTCATCCCCCTCCATCCCCTCTACCTCGGCTCCAGACCCAGGCCTGTCTCTGACTGAAGAGCCTCAGACCGGACAGGGAGACGGAGAGGATGGGCCTGCAGAGCCCCAGGAACCAGACTCCCATAACCATCTTGAGGGAGCAACAACAGAGGAGAAAGAGGAAAGATTGGAGGACACAGGAGGAGAGGCAATAGAAGAGGAGGAGAAGCAGGACACTGAGGAGCAGAGACAGGTGGAAGGAGAGGAAGCATAAAGGAGGAGAAAACTGCAGAGAAAAGAGAGACAACCACTTCCTGCTCTCTCCTCCTTTCTCCTCCGTTGCTCTCTTTCTGGACTGAGCAACAGTGTAAAGTTTGTGCCGTGTCTGTCAGTCAATGTCCATGTAAAGACTTTTATTATGATGATGACTAATAATAACGATGATGATTATATTCAACTTGGTTCTGTTTATATACCAAGACCCCACCCACCCTCCACTCCCTCCTTGTATACAAAAAAACTAGTGTAAGAAATGATCTGTGTATACTTCCCCTTCATTCTGCATCGAGACTGAGTCGGGAGGGACATTTCTCAACAGCAACACACACACACACACTTACACACTGCAGGCCAGATGCGTTAACCAAGGGGCGGCTTTGGCGGTAATATTGATCCTGTTATAAAAGTTGAAAAGCTGTTGCAAAGTTTTGGACTTGCAGCTTTGGTTTGGTGTGTTTGCACGAGGAATGATGAAGAGAGTTGTGGCACAGCTGTTAGAATTTCTCACCACAGTTTGTGAATTCAGAGAAGCTCAAGCGGAGGAGCACGTGTGTATCTTATGTTCAAGGTCGAAAACCGAGCCTGTTCACCTGAGCACTGTTGTTATTTTGACTTCTGGCACACTCCACTTAATTGAGTCATTTTTGGGGGGGATTATGTCTGTGCAATGTTCAAAAACTTGCAGGCTAGATTAACCTGGAAGTATGTCTTGGTTACAAGAGTCTGAACCAGCATTCCCAGATACATGTGACACTAAAACGCCTTTTCCTAGTCGATACTGATTGAATACTGATAACATTAACCTGAGATAATATGCAAGAGCTACTCTACCAAGAGAACAGACAGCAGGCCAGATACATTTCAGAGTGTAGCCCTTTTGAAAGTCTCTAAATCATCTTAATGCAACTCAAAGAATAGTGAATTTAAGAAAGCTGCCAAGTCAGAAAGAAACAAAAAAGTCACAATACAAGTGAAGTTAATAAATCCCAGGCATGAACGTTTTATCTTAATTGTAAGATAGCATTGTCTGCCAGCCCCCCACGTGTTAGATTCCTTATTCATATTATTTTTTTTTTTTTACTGTAACTTTATTATCAATGCTATGCCATTGCTGCTATAACTTCTTTTTAAAAGAAGTTCAGAGTTAAAATGTAATTTGCTCTTCACACTAGAGTAATAATCCAGATACCAAGAACAGGAAATGTTGAGTGCAACAGGTACTCTGAACAAGAAGATCTTCTCATTTGCTTTCATTGATAAAAGCAGAGAACAATCATGAGATTAATTTGTTTCATTACTTTTTAGATCATGTATCTTTCTTTTAAAAACTCACACACAGTCACTTTGAGAGATTATCCCTGCCAGGCCTAATCACAAGAAATGAAAGACAGGAAGTCAAAGTTAAGAGCTCAGTCAGGCCACCAGGGGGTGGTAGGAGGCAGATTGTATCCTGTCCTGGAAACACTGGGGTGGAGGGATTGTAAGTTAATTCCATTTGGTCCCAAATGGAATTAACTTACAGCCAATCAATGAAAACATAAAATGACTGCTGCAAAATGGTTGCAATCATGACCTGTAGCATCATGTCTTTTTTTTTTTTTTTTTGGCCATACTGTCCTCTTCTCACGTTTTTATTGGGTGGGATTCTGTGTTCAGAAAGATATTATCTGTGCGTTGTCAACATCTGTCCAGTGAAAGGGAATAGTCTGTTTTTTAGGAACAGATAAAACAGGAAGAGGAGGGATACAAAGCGGTGTGAATCACTCGGGTTGAGTGCCTCGTCGTTGCTCTTCGTCTCGTTTCTTTTCCTCAGATTAGTTTTAATAGCAGTTCATACTAAGAGTTTCTAAATATGTAAATCTATCGCTGTATATTGCTGTTTTATGTTTTTTAAGTGCACCATTTCTTTCTTTCACCTTTTGTTTTTTTTCTCCATTGGGATAAAAAAAATACTTGACAAATGCGAGGGTTTTTTTGCGTTGCGATTAGTCCCAGTGTTTTCTTTATCAAACAGACTGTACTGTACATTAAATGGATGCAAGTCGCTGGTTTTATTCAGTCTTTTCAGAACAGGGTCTGCATTTTGGGGGTTTATGTCAGATGTTTCTGTTTATGACGTTGGACTTCACTTTTGTTTTGTTTTCATACATGAAAACATTATTTTTGCACAATGTCTTTTTGTGAATGTTAACCTGTTTCTGTACTGTCTTGTATTTCCTTTATGCGTGTGTGTGAGCGTGTGTGTGTGTGAGATAATGGGAGAGGGTCGCGGTGTGCATGCATGCGCACACGTTTTGTTGTGGAGCTGTGTTTCTTCTTCAGTCTCGTCCTTACAGGTCACATTTCTTGTTGGGGGGGAAAAAAACATAGTTGTTGCCTTGTCACAACTTTGTGGCTACATATAATTTATTATCCTTTTCTTTTGCTTTGCCAAACTCTCACCAAATATGACATTCTTTCTTTCTTAGTTTCATTATGTATTATTCAAAGTAAAATGCCTTATTTAGCTAGTATTTTTATGTATAGATGTTCTGTTACATCTCCATATAGGGACACGTTATCGTGTTTGTGTTCAGTTTGTCCTTTGCTTGTATGCGTACACGGCCTTGGTGATGTGCATTATCTTCAAAAGCCAACAGTAATGCGAAGGTACCACTGTCCAAATCACTACGTTAATTGAATCAGTCATCCCTCAAAGCACAAATGGAGAGTTAACAAAAAGTGACTGTTTTCTTACCAGTGCCTCTAAAATTACTTTAAATGCTTTTTCTTTTTGTGGGCTCCACTCGCGCACGTCTTGTGTCTGTAGTGACATCATCTTTGGAGAAGTGATTGACATTTGAAAATGTAAGTCTTTGTGCAATTGCACCATTTGCAGATGATGCCATGCTGTTCAGTAAAGGGAAATTCTGGATTTGTTGGGGTTTTATTTTATATATTTGTCCATCATGACCATTACTCATGATAAAGTTTTACTCACCAACTCCTTTAGTAGAGATTTGGAAAACTCCAGCGAGGTGGCAGTCAGAGTAAAGAGCGTGAGCAACGTTTGAAAAAATTGACATTTGTAACCGAAACAAATCCTTGAATTCGTCTTTCAGGCTTCAACTGAAGTTTCTTGCAGATGGAGCAAGTATTTGTGGATATTGCTGCAAATTTGACCTTCCATACTGATACATGTTTGTTAAGCTGTGGCTTAGTTTGCTTTGGATTTAGCGTGCCTGTTTGAGAAGTAGCAGCCAAGATACAGTTGTGCTTGTTGTATAAAGCTTAGACCTTGAGGTGCGTTTGATTTAAATCAATTTGTGATTGTCTGACTGGTAAATTATCTTAAGTTGATCAACCCTAGCAAGTACATAGCCTGATCAGCAACATTCTTACCATTGTTCAGTTTGTCAGATCTCTACAGAGGCGTTGAGTAAAATGTTAATGGAATAAGACGAAGTTTGTGAAATACCAGAGTCTCCTTTTAAGAATGGCTATAAAATCCCAGGGCATTCTCTTACTGCAGAGGCCTTCTGTTTGGTATCTAGCACATCTAGGATGATAATTCACGCACATAGTATGTATCCAGCTTAAGTATTCGATTGTTCGTGTGTGTTTGTTGAGATTCCTGAAAAAAAAAAAAGCAGTAAATCAGAAGTGGAAGCCAGTTGTTCTGTACCACAATTAAATAATCTGAAAAACAAATGTTTAACTCTACAGCCCATGTATACACATCACTTCCTGTAACTGACTTGCACTCGTAGGTGCAGTATGTGGCAACAGTTCAAGGCGATGGCTCTGTATTGTCTGTTCATGTCACACCATGCCTTCTTTAACAGTGTTCTTTCTTTTCATTGAAGTCCTTTTGGTTAACTTAAATGTTCTTCAGAACGGTCACCTCAAAATGTTGTAAACGTTTATCTCTTATCATAAATAATGTATTTATTGTATAGTTCTTGTCTTTACATCATTGTCTCATGACTGATTAATGGTTGGTTTTGTTACTCTTGAACGTGACTCCTGAACGACAAAAGCATTTTGGTTCACATGGATGTTAAACTATCTGCTTTTCTTTGTAGCCCTTGTCACCTGCTAATCTGCTTTTTAGATGTAATTAGATGGTAAAGAGTCCCCAGTTTACCTCTTTTTTTATTTTCTCAACAGTTAGGCGAACTGAGCTACATGTGCCATACAATAATAATCCAATTAAAGTGGGATTATTGGGCTGAGACAATTCTATAGGACCCAGGTTGCAGCAGTTGATCCAAATGTATAAAATGGACATTTGTATATTTGTTGTCTACATTTTAGGAGAAGATGACTGAAAACTTGTAGTTTCTGGAGCAGACATGCCAGTTAATGTGCCCTGCTACAGAAACCACACACCAGAACAAAACTTTTTTTTTTTTTTACTCTCCTTTTGTTTCCTTAAAATCAGAAATACTGGATTGTAAGTCCAGTTCCAGTTGCAGAATCAACAGACAGATGCTGGAGTTCTAAAATAATAATGCCTGAGAAATGTTAATTACCATCTCGTCACCGGCTGTTGGCCTGATTCGTTCAAGTAAGCACGTAACCAAACCGTCACATGCTGGTTATACTGTTTGACATACACATGAGAGACCCGGTTTGGACCGCCTGCATCACCACCATCACTCTGTTCCTGGCTGCGTTATGGCCTTTGGTTTGAGGACCCTGGCCTTCATTTATTCAGAGGGTCAACGTTCAGGCCTCCTTAAGTGTCCTTAAGCAAGACACTGAACCCCTGCCAGCTGATTTGTAGCTGACCCTGACTTTTGACCTCCCTGTAGAATGAGGCCAGATCCGGTATGTAATAGGTTAAAGATGAAATCCAAACACACATCCAGAGGTTCCGATTCTGAACACAGAGGAAAATACAATTAACAGCTTAAAATCTCATGTTCCATTTAAAAAAAAAAAATTAAATATCAAACCTATTTTGCCTTGTGAAAAAGAATTTTACAAAAAAAGAGAAAATCCTTTGTGTCAGTACATGGTTTAATTCTTTTCAGGCTGGTTTCACAGACACTGAAATATTGTCTTGGCAGAAGAGGTGAATATATAATAAGAATTACAGCTCCCTTATGTAATATTTAGATATGTAGTTTAAGACTCCCCTGCAACTTGTGCATTCTTGTAGTTCCCACTTATGGTAAGCTTACATCCATTTCTCTTGAGTTAGCCAATTGGACCCATTTATTTTCAAAAGACATGCTGAAATCTCAACACTTGGTCAGTAGAGTAATCCCTCCACCCCAGTGTTTCCAGGACATTTTTTGACAAACTGTGAAAGCAAGCTGAAAAGTAACCTCCTCCAAATTCATGTCTGTGAAACCACCCGGCTCAATATTACACAGATAGGGCAGGTTAAATAATATCTGACTGTTCACAGCTCCTGTATTAGAACCAACCAAGCGTAAAAATAATCCACGAGGATTTTCTTCTAAAAAGTGGAGAAAAGACCATCACTGGCTGCTCCTGTAGTCAGAAACCTGGTCATTGCTAACTAAGTTAAGTGGTGGGGTTTTTAATCTTTTTCCTTTCTTTTTGTTTCTTATTTGTAACTATAGCTCTCTGTATTCCCATGTGGACCAATCTCATGAGTCAAAACATGGTATGTGTGATCTTTTATTGTGCAATAAAAGATGACTTTCAACTTTCTTTTGTCCCTGAGGAGTAATTCATTAACTGTGGAGATTCTTTACTTTGTCAGATTTCAGGTTTGTTGACTGTGAAGACCCTGAAGTGGTCTGTCAGCCAGTTCAATGTGTTGCTCTGCTTTCTGCACAATGCATGCTGTGAAAGAGTGCAGTGGCCCTGTAATGAGGAAAAGGATTGAGCTGGTAGAGAGAACGATACAACGTGTGTGTGAATGAGCAGCAAAAAGCTTGTGAAGTTTTGGATAAAAGTGCTATAAGAATGCAGCCTCCTCATAGACAGACATTTAATAAGCACATTGCTGCTGGAATGGTTGGCAGCAGTTATAGAAGAAGTTCTCTGATCTTTTACTAATATAAAAAATACTAATACAACCATGTAGAAATAAAAAAATATCAGCAAAATGAATCATTATGCAGAATGAGCCATTTTAGATTGTTATATCATAGAATTATCACTTTTCACGCTTCATCTATAATAATACAAAAGCAAATGTAACCTAATTAAACCTAAAAGTTGAATAAATATTGACTGAATCTTAAAAAAATTATTTGGGGATTTGCAGGTCAAACGACATGTAGATTACAACTGGTTAAATAACTGGTTGAAAAGGGAAAATGTTTAAAGGTCAATGGTTGTTTCAACAGCATGATATTTAAATGAGTAGTTGACCTGCTTTTTATTGAAATAAACTTATTTAAATGTTTTTATGTGAAACTGTCATCTTGACCAGGACTCAGGTCTTGTCTCATAAAAGATAAATAAAAATAAATACAGTTACAGTCTATGTAACGTAGATATCTTTGACCTGCAAAATAGGCATTTAGCAATAGCAGTGACTGAAGAAAAGGCACCATGATCAAAAGAGAACTTTCTATGCTGTCTGTCTGATGATCTCTTGGAAAGTGCAGAACAAAAATACCAAAACATCAGGACTGCTAAATATTGAAAGCTAGCTCAATGCTAATGAAACCAGTTCCATGGAACGTCTACCTTACAGCCAAATCGCTCCTCGTTTTAATGTCGCTTTTTTGACCTGCACATTTTCAAATTTATCTTTTTTTTTTTTTAAGTTATTTTTTTGGCCTTTTATTGCCTTTATTGATAGTGACAGCCGGAGATAGACAAGAAATGTAGGTAGAGAGAGTGGGGATGACACGCAGCAAAGGATTCAAACCCGGGCCGCTGCAGNNCCAGCTCTACCGACTGAGCGAACCGGGCACCCTTCAAATTTATCTTTAATGGACTGTTCATTCTCTTGTGCTTCTGGCCTTGCAGTACTTTTGCTTTATATCTTTTTTATTTTTCTCTCACTAAGTTTATTGATATGCAACAAAACAACAGGTCTGATTCCTTGTATGTGAAAACTGCCAATACATTTGATTCTGAAAAGTTTTGAGAAAAAACTAAACAAATCAAAAACAGTCCTAGCTAGTCCAGTCACAGAAACACGGTCAGAAATAAATACTGCAATTTGCCTAACAAACAAAAAGATCAGAACAGTGATCGCAGAGCAGCAAAGAAATCAGTGAGAGAAGAAAATATTTCACTCTGCTGTCAAAACCTCAAATCTTAATGACATATATACAATGTTAAATTCAAGAATATTTAAAAAGGCAGAAGTCTGCAAATAGTTGCAGTTTGCAGTCAGTAAAATATATAAATGAAACAGTGTACCAAGCCTGCAGCATCAAAATATACATTTATTGAAACATACATTCATGTCGTGGAATAAAATCCCATTTAGTCGGAGAAATATTGATAAATATACAACTGAAGCTAACCAATGAACAGAAGAGATCTGAAAAAAAGGAATACCCACATCTTGAGTCACTCCACCTCAGCTTTACTTGTGCAATATCAGATAACGCAGGCTAAAAAAATAACTGAATACAACCGTCCCTACGTATTGAAAATGTCAATTAAATACTATGTGATTTAAAGGCAAAGTGTGAGGTTGGTAATAAGTTGGACTGTGTGTGAATTCCTTCTTTTTTCTGACAAATACAACAAACTTTTGTGAAACACAATAGGCAACATTTGTCTGTATCTACATTTTTGAATGATTAAAAAAGAGCAAACCAGAAGAGGGTTATTTTTATGAGATGATTTAAAGGCCAGAGTCAAAAAGCTGTTAAAGTGAAGAAATCAGGTACTTATGTGGCAACTTTACTGAACAGCGTGTCCGTATTTAGAGAAACTGTTGAAAGTAAAAGCCTATCGTCATCTTTAATTTAATCATATTGAATTATACATTCTGTAAATCACATTATTTTGCCCATCTAATATTTATCTGCAGGTGACACACACGGTTCATGAAGGAAGCACACAAACATCTTTGAGAGACAGATTGAAGACTTACCGAAGAGTTTAACTGTTTAGATTAAGAAATGAAAGGTTCCCTGTGGAGTTGTTGACCACCATTAATGCTACGGAGCCATGGTTGTGTTTGTCTCGTGTTGTTGAGGACACACACACGCCACAGTAGCATGTCCTATACCAACACAGGCGGTGAAGAAGAAGACGGCGAGCTAGTAAACATGGATGTAAACAATACAGGTTTCAAACTTTAGCTTTGCAAAGAGATAAAGGACATGCACTCCACACATTTGTCAGACCTTAATGATGAACGCAGCGAGTCTTGGTGAGAAACACTGAACGTAAACAGAAACTTCGTTAACAAGAAATCTCCTTAAAGGGACAGTTGATCCCAAAATCAAAAATACATATTTTCCCTCTTATGTTTTGTGCTATTTATCCATCTAAACTGTGAGTTGCTGAGTTTTGGAGATATCGGCCGTAGAGGTGTCTCCATTCTCTCCAATATAACAGAACCAGAGAGGTTCTAGAAATCATGACCCATTTACTCAAGATAATCCGCAGATCTTGTTGTGAGGAACTATTTTTTTTTCTATACATCACAGTGCATCTACTCATGGATGGGAGGCTCATACAGGATGTAAACACTGATGGCTTCCACCTCAGCTGTGCTGCAACGTACAGGACAGTATGCGGATGTAGTTTGATAGAAAATAGTTCCTACATGAAACGACTATTACAACAAGGTCTGTTGATTTTCTTAAATAACCGGGTCAAGATTTCTAGAAAGAAACGTTGTTGTACAGTCAGACATCTCTACAGCCAATATCTCCAAAACTCAGCAACTCACACCAAAACAATCTAGATGGATGAACTTCTTTACAGGTAAGGTATTTCTTTATTTTCTTTAATCTCTTCTGATACTATTTGTAGAATTTGTTGGTATCACAACTTCTTTTAGATTTCTTTCTTGAATGTAAATGCACAAATTTAATTTGCGTCTGAAGTTCTGTGAGTCTGATCGATTTTCTGACTTTTGGAACTCACAAGAAAATGTCAGAGAGACATTCGCTGATTCATTACAATTCTGTGAAACTCAAACTGTTCTTATTCCAGATAAAGAGCTGGTTTTATCCAAAGGGACAGTTATTTTATTGGCTACCACCAAGTTTCAACATTTCTTGGGTGGGGAACTTTGACTCATTGGTCACATGCATCACAACGCAAGAATTTCTTAGTCATAATATCTGCTTAATTGTTCCTTTGAGTTTCCAGTAAACAGGATTCTGGTGAATGGCAGTGCATTTTAATACATTTATTATAAAGGCTGATTGGAAACATAATAAACAATGAATTGGTCTCTGACTTCAAAGCTCATGCTGATGTCAGCTGACTGATACTCCAACATGTGTCAGGTGTCGCGGTGAGCTGCGTGCACCTCATCCTCAGGGATCCCCATGCTCTCTGGCGGCGTCTGTTGTTCCGTTCGCCGAGTTGCCAACGTTGTCGCTGACGAGCAGCCGTAGTCGTTTTCTCTCCCTCTTTCTTCCAAGTCCTTCTTTTATATTCTTTCTTCTTTCTGACAGATAAAAGTGAAAACAGTAAATAGTAAAAATATTTTTGATTCAGTCCACAATTTATTTTGTCAGGTTTTTGCTCATCACACATCTGTGTTTGGTTACGGCTGTGCAACTGCATTCTTTGTATATGTATCATTTATAAATAACCTCACCTCAAGTGCACATGTAGTATGCTGTAAGCACAGTAATAATTGTAAAGCACTGCAGACGTATTGCACACAGTGGAAACAAATGTGTCTCCATATGGATGCATACGATACAGAATTCTTTCAGCTACACAAAAGCATTGATTGTAATGTGCAGGTCAAAAGACATGGATATGGACATAGATATGTTTTTGTTCTGCGGCCACCATAGGTTCTCCTACACACTTCACAGCCCGTTCTCATTCCCAGGTTGTCAAATACAGACACAAGCTGTGTTTAGTCAGTTGCTTCACCACTAGTTGCCACTAAATCCTACACACTGGTCCTTTAAGCGACCTTGGGTATCTCACACTGTGCAATACTAGATCCGAGTTCCACTATGCCCTGAAATCCCATAACATTGTCTTGAATTGGTCTAACAGAAATGTGTGAGCCTCAAGGACCAGAGACGTCCACTCTGAGAATTCAAACAGCTGGTCTGCACCTTACTTTCCAGTTCACATTGCAACAAAAGAGGAAAAAACTGGCAAACCAAGATGTCAGCTCCTCTGACTCCCTCCATCAACTGTCTCCATTTCATCAGAAGATTGTGAAAAATGTGCATAAGCTAACGGTGACTGAATACTTTTTCACGCACTATAAATGTTGTTCAGGTGTTTGGAAGCCTCAGATTTGGACTCAGGATAATTACTGTGAAGTATTATGTGAACTGATGTGCTGGAGTCCAGATCTGACAAGAGTCAGTAAAATATTGTGGGTGATGTATTGCTGCTTTGAGAGTGGAATTTTGGCCACAAGTATTCAGGAACAGAAAAAAGCTTTTAAAGTCTCTTCAACATATCTGATGTTTTCCCTGTTGTGAACACACATATACATCAGATTGTATGTCTTTTTAAAAGCCTGAGGACTTCAGATCAAAACTTTTAAGGGGTTTGAACTCAAGGAATAAGTGTTTTGATATTTCACAATGCATCATGACATATCAGGTTAAACCATATCCGCATATCTCATATAGCTGTCTCATGCTATTAAAGCATGGTTTAGCCTAGATAGAAAATGTGGTTTTGATGTTCAGCGATGGAGAGGAGAGCTTTAGTGTTTTTGGCTCCGGTTTAAACGTGAAATAATTTTCTGTAATATACAGCACTGAGGTTGATTTAGAGGTTGGTTGGACATCAGAGAGTGAAAACAAATGCAGGCAGGAAAGAAAGATGAAAAGAAGCCAACCTAAAGCGCTGCAACTCTTCTTAATTAGAGTCCAGAAATGACCCTTTTGATGAGGGTGACCCTGCCATGTGTAACAAAATATATACAGTCTATATACAGTGTATCCCAATTCCAGCCACTTTTCCAACCTCAAAAGTGAAACATTCAGTAGATATTTCAGGCAACATAAATCCACTGTGAGGCCTCAACGGAAAAAAAAATTCCCTCCATTATTGCCAATAAATTTCACTCCAGGCTTGTTTTGGTGTTCTATATGTTATCAGTTATCTACAAAGCAAATTGCAGACTTATCTCATTTCTACATCAAATAATTAATTATAATAATACATTTTCCTGTTTCCTCCTACAGTTCTCTTACGTCAAATCACTCAGCCAAAGAAAAGCAAACTTCAAAGTAAACATAAAACAAATGAGGGAAGATACATTGATTCATACCAGTAGTTCACTAATGGTAACACTGACATGCTGCTCCAAAGTCTCATCTGACTGTGTAAAATGTGGCCAAAGTCTTGAGGCTTAAAAAACTACAACAATCTACAAAGTATGTACAGTATTTAAATGGCCACTAAAGCACCCTACTGTTCCAAAGTCTGCTTGGATCAATCATGTCTGTAAGTACAATTTCCACAATAAAATCCTTAAAAAAGCATCTTGTCCTTCTACCTTGTTAAAAATCTATGAATGTGCACATTTTGTTCATTTCTAAAGTTTTCCTGCTGGACACAGGATGTCTCCTACTTCACTGTAAAGTCCATTCTCAGTGTATGTGCCCTGGCACCTTCAGGTTTCTGCATCCCACTGGACCAGGGTTGGCTTCCAAACTATTTGTGATGTCACATATCATGCACCCCTAAACAAAAATCAGATTTTCAGTGAGCTCAGAGAAACTTTCCACTTTCAGCAGATGAATGTAAAAACATTGTTCTAGTGTCAAACTCTGCACAGTGAAGATCCAGCATCACACTGTAACAAAAAGGACAAAAACATAACATTTGAATGGAGAGAGACTTTGCCTGATAAACTTCCCTCTGTGTTACAGACCGGCCTCATGGAAATGAATAAGGGGGGTTTGCTATTTTTCATGCTGTGCTGTTGTCTGTCTGAACACGGCCTAATGAGACCTGAGTGATGACCACTGAAATGATCCTGTTGCATCGACATCTCACTGCAGAGTGCTGCTTCAGCTACAATATATGGAGACTAAAACGTTCAGTTCCTAAAACTTGTTAAGATAACAGGATCTAATAAAAATCTCTGTTTGAAAATTGCATGTTTGATATGAAAGATATTAATAGCTCAGTCCTTGTTAATGTTCATTCAAAACCCGTTCCCTTATTTATAATTTCGGTCAAGTTGGTAATTAATCAAGTTGCAAGAAGTCAGATTGCAAGAGAGCATTTGGAAATGTACACACTCGTACTCTTGACATTCTTCTCCACTTTTTGATATTAATCTCCAGCATCGAGTATCATCAAACGGTGGAGAAACAGATCTGAAAATGTAGCCAAAGATATACACATGCACACGCTCCCAGTCAGTCCAGAAAATGCTGTTTTTCACTGCCCCCCAAACAAAGTGTTCCAATCACATCGACCCAACAACGTGGAATCATGGACAGATCTTTATGATAGTTGAAAGCAGTCGACATTGACTGACAAACAGCCCTCTCCCATGTCAGAATCCCTCTTTTTCACTCGACCATCCAAGTCGTCTGTACAGTATCACAGTAGTGATAGTGAGAGACAACAGTCAGTCACAACAGCTAGCATAAAGCATTTGTATTGGTGTCATTTTTCAGGTAAGGACAGTCTTGAAGAGTACTGTCCATCAGGGTTAAAGTCTGAAGATCAACAATGATTTAGTCCAAAATGTTACAGAATATTTCCAGCATGTCTTTTTGCTTTACTCTACAGCTTCTCTCTTTGTTATTTTATTCCCAGCTCTGCTGAATGTTCCTACATGTTCCCCACGATGAGAGGTTTCCTGCTGGGTTGAAAAATGACTGAAAATTAAGTTCTTCAAATAAAGTTGGGGAAAAACACAAATGATTCAGAAAGAATTATGTTTCCTTTCTCTCTTCTGGCCCACGTTCCTTTAGCTTTCTTCCCCTCTCGTTCTATCCAAAACATGTGGACGTACACTGGGCACAAATTATTACAGAGATAAAGAAAATACAGATGGTGCTTTTCACTGTTTCATGCACAAGAGCTCACATCCATCAGTCTGAACTACTGGTTGCTTTTGGGCAAGCTCGACATTATAGAGCGGTGGTGTTGTTAACTGCCCTGTTCAAAGGCACATCACTTGCATTTTGGGAGGCACAACCCGCAAACCAACACAAAGTCTCTGACGACAAAAAAAAAAAGCATTTCGATGTGAATCCAGCTGCTTGCATGACATCGTAGCCGCTGGTGTAGCAACGAAAGCTTAATTCCACACTGGAGGTCGGTCGGCAGATCGCTTCTCACACGTTAAATGATATTTTGTTGTTTATCTCTCGTGTCAGAGGCCAAAGTGATGAGGAGAGGGTGCAGTTCTTTGTGTTTACATCAGACCTTTCTCTCCCCCTCAGTTATAGGGAGGCTGCAGTGCCACGCCATAATGCCCCCGCTGTCATCTGCCCTTTATTAGTAATGAGAGCCCGTCTGCAGAGATTGGGGTTTTTGAATCCCATCCTGTCTCCTCTCCTCATCCTCCTCCTTAAATCTCTTCCTCTCCTTTTCCAACTCTGTCTTGATGCACTCCTCTCCTCATCTCCTCTGCCATCCCTTCATTCCTGTAATCTGTCCCTCGTTAGTGATGCTGTCACAATGGCTTTGTCTTTGGACGCTGTGCTGATGATTGGGAATTAAGACAGGCTGTCCTGAAATGCCTCTCTACTTTCTCCCTGTTTGTATGTTTGCATTTACATGTATTAGCAAATGTGTATACGTGAGCGTAATCCTCCTCTTAACACATGGACTGATATATGCAGGTCCTACTTGTTCACGTAACTAACTGTATATAGGTATATTTGTTCCTATGGTATGTGTTGGCCTAATTTATACAATCAAAATCACATATCCATCCATTATGAGGACTGGCTGCACTGTGGAGTAGCAGGTGGCTCAGAATTGATCAGATTTCATGTATAAACAAAAATCAAATGCACAGAAGTCCCATAAAGTTGTATACGAAGGTTTTGGCCACTTCTTGACAAATAACACATTTGGTGATTTCTTTCATTGAAAAAATGTAAACACAGCCTCTCTAGGGTATGTAACATAAAACACAATATTTGCAGCAAACATTCATGCATTGTTTCGTTTTATTTCATAAACTGAAAAAACAAAAAAAATAAAACATAATTGTTTGGGCAACCTAAGAGTTCTGCAGTCTCAGATTCTTTTTACAAGGTCTCAGACAAATGGTGCCAATTTCAACCCTTTACAAATACTGTGACTCTTCAAACCTTGTGTGAACAATCAGCCATGGGTTCTAACAAGCACAATGATGCCAACAATGCAGCAGGATACAAGGAGATGGCAAAGCATTGTCAGCTTGCAGTTTCCACAGTGTGAAATGTTATTAAGAGATGGCAGTTTAGGGGTACTGTGAAGGTCAAGATGAGATCTGGAAGACCAAGA